GCAAAACAACAGGCAGTCGCCTTTTTCCGGCGACCCTTTGTGGGTCTTGTTCTAGTTGATGGCAGCGACAAAACTAAGGGAAGAAGAGTAGCAGTGAATCACAAAGGTGTGAAGATGGGTGGTAGTTTTATGGTGTTTTGTACTCTGAGAGAGAGAGAGAGAGAGAGAGAGAGAGAGAGAGAGAGAGAGAGAGAGAGAGAGAGAGGCCCTTTAATTAAATAATTATATTTTTTTCTTTTTTTTAAATAGAGAAAACCTCATAAATGGTCCCTGTGTATTGAAATGATGAAAATGCCCCTCACTTAACGGTAGAAAGCTGACGGAGTTAGGCGGAAGGACCATTTGTTAAAAGTTTTGAAACCACAGGGACTATCTGTGAGGTTTTTTGAACTTAGGGACTAAACTTGATATTTTCAGAAACCACAGGGACCATTTTTGAAGTTTTGTCAAAAAAAATTTTAAGCGAAGGGTAAAAGTCTTAGACATGAATGGATTAGAAGTTGTTTAGAAATAGATTAAATTTATTTTTAATTTTTTTTAAATAACAAATTTTATTCAAATTGGTTAAAGTTTAGAGATGTAATATAAGTTACATGTGTACAAAATCATCGGATGGGAACTTGATATGACTTTAGATGTATAGTACCCCAAAATCCCAAATCGGATTGTGTTAGCTTCAACCTTTGTCCCGAAGAACTTTGCCTCGTTCGCCGGTTAAGAGGTCTTAAATTGGGTCTTGAAAAAACGATCCCAAATCGGGTCCAAAAGAGTTTGCTTACCGGTCACATATGAACAATGGAAAATATAAAGTCGATAATTTATTATTTTATTATATATACTAGACGAAAATTCGCGCGTCCCGCATAAATAAAACTACGGCGATTAAAATTATAACTAATATATTGGGTTGATAACAATAATATAATTATATTATTAATACATATATTGTATTAAAACTTTGTTTCTTCTCAGCTCTTATTTCCCAATCTTATTGTTGAAATCATAACAATCTAATCTACAACCATAAAATATACGCGTTGCGCAAGAATATAGTTATATAGTTTTTTAACAGTAAACACACACACCCACACAAACTCTGTAATCATGTTCCTAATTCTATAAATTATGATTTAATAATTATACATGAAAAAATAATGTTAGTAGCAAAACAATCCTATAGTTAACCTATTAGTTTTTTTAAGCTTCATATTTAAGTCATTGATTATTTCTACCATTAATTGATGATTTTATAGAACGTTTTGAGTTGTATAAAATGTATATCAAACATATGTTGACTTCTATATACAACGAATAACAAAGAGTATAAAACATAAACACTACAACTTTTGATGATTTTATAGAGTGTTTAAGTTGTGTAAATTGTATATATAACGTATGTTGATTTTTGTATTTAACGAATAACAAATATATAAAAAATCATAAATACTACAACTTTTAATAACATAAAAACACTACAACATCTACTATAACATTTATAACAAAAAAAATTATTAAACACTTATAAATCATATAAAAATATAGAAAATTTGTAACACCCTGTTTCCAGATCGGATCGATTTAGAGCTTCAAGGAGTCAAAGGCATTGTTTTTGGGTAAAACCAAGGCTCACGACGTGTGCCATAGAAGGGTCACGACGTGAGGAGTGATTAAATGAAATTTTGAATTATGATGAGCTCACAACGTGAGCAATAAAAGCTCACGACGTGTGGTTTGCTGCAGCTCAAGCCCATGATCTTTTAGGGTTTTCTTCGTATTTTGAATCTCATAAACTTCATTTTAGGGTTCCTAAACAGCCTCCTTCATCCCTAAACTCAGTAAAACCCTAACGTTAACCTCTCATTGTGATTCTTGAGTTTTTGGTGGAATTTTGGTGGCTTGGAGAAGAAGATATCACCATTAAAACATAGTTTCAGCTTAGAGGTTCCATTTGCAACCTCTAGCTACACTTCTGGACAATTGTGAGTAACCAAGGTCCAAACTTTATGTTTCCTTGTTGCTAGATCTAAGGTTTTAAGCATGTTAAGCCATGGTTTAAGAGTTAGTGTAACGCCCCGATTCTCAGGTATTGATTTAAATAAGAATTTCTGTGATTCCAAGATCTACTCGACGAGTTGGTTGCCCTAATCGTCGAGTAGCAGCGGGTTGGTCCACGTAGTTTAGTGACCTACTCGCCGAGTCCAAGAATGGACTCGACGAGTAGGAGCTGACAGATGAAACCCTAAATCCCGGGGTTTTGCACCCTATTTAAAGAATCATAAGCCTCCTTCATCCTCTTTACAGTCCCTTGAGAGTCCAGAAAACCCTAATCCGTGTGGTGCTTCATTCTTGTGTGTTTTAAGCTT